TGCACTTAGGTACCTAAAATAATTTAATGTGAAATGAAATCTTGCAGAGCATGCTGTGAGCTAATAACATCACTTAAATCCAGACTCAGAGTGGTGATTCACTACACACACGCACACACACAGAGCTGACTCAAATCAACAAAATCTATTTAAAGCCATACATGCAACATGTTTCTCCAGCAGCTGCTGAACAAGTTGAAGCATAAGCATCTCTAAATGTTTCTGCTCATGTTTACCTTGCTTGCCTACTGCACCAGCATGTCTTAACAGCATTACAGTATCACTTGTGCCATAAACAAATTGCAGCATGTCTGGCGCTTCACTGAATGTGTGCTCATGCAATTTATCCTCATGAAATGTAATGTGAGGTTAGTGTTGAGACAAGCAGCTTTGAAAGTACTGTCTTTATAGTGTTACCTCTATATACCCCCACGGTGGGTTTTAAACCAAACAATCAAGATGTAAATGAAGTGCAGACTTTTAGCTTTGATTCAGGCAGACTGCCTGAAGTCTAGAGCTCGTGGAGAGCAGCAAATGTTGCGTTTCCTTCCTTGAGATGCTCTTCCAGGCCTTTACTGCTGCCACTTCCAGTTGCTGCCTGTTTTTCTGACTCTCTGCTTCGGTTTTTCGTTCAATTACCGAATAACATGCTCTATTGCACTAATGTAACTGACTTGGCCACCCAAGAATATCTTATTTCTTTGCCTTGAGAAACTCTTGGGTTGCTTTTGCAGTATGCTGCGGGTCATTATCTGTTTCCACTGTGCAGTGTCATCTGATCATTGCAGCATTTGGCTGAATCTGAGCAGGAGGTATAGCCATGTACACTTCACAGTTCATCTGACCGTCTCGTCCTTGAGTGTTCCCAGGGGTGTGCACCTCGTTGGAAACTCTCTGTACGTGACTCTGATTACATGTTGTGAAGGGTTTTTTCTTAACCATGTTTTTTGCTGTCACTCACAGCATTCTTCATAACGAGAGTTCAGCTGAACAGCTACCAAATGCATGCTCAACATCACCAAATCCATTTGTCGTGTAATAACGAGGGAATATTTAGTGTTTATGCAATTTACTGCAAGAAGCAGTGAAAAGAATTCAATGCTAAACATTAATATTAATTTGCCCTAATTTATATTGGCTAACTGTTGTGCTTAGACTTTAAGACATGGGTCTCTGAAGTTTAAATTGTACCTGCTGTTCCCAGGCACCTGGACACAAATGGTGCCTTTGTGCAAAAATATGTTTTTAAAAAAGAATGACTCGTATTAGTCTTTGAGTTTTCCTAGATGCTATGGAGAGCATGTAATTCCGACTCACTATCACTGTGGATCTTTTTTGGTTGCCAAAATGGACAGAATGGGTGTAAATCAGGCAGAAAAATCTGAAATACACTGCACTCTCATCAACCTCTCTGTTACAAGACGGGAAATATGTACTTTGTAACCCTTATGTTACTTACTTTTTGGGGTAGTTATTCAGTTTCTCCAATGTTTAACTGTAGCCTGTTTTACAGTTTAAAATTCTTATTTATCTTAAACCACAATTTACACACTAACAGTCATCGTTGATGCCCTTCACAATTTGCGTAACCACCAAAATGAGAAGAAACTAATTAGTCTCCTGCTTGTACCTGACAGGACA